CCATTTTCGAACAGCCATATTCATTTGGATTTCATACCTTTGATTGGAAACATAGGATGTTGGGAACTAGATTTTCCTTCGCAAGATGCATACTTGAGTGTCCCTCCCACACTGAAATGAGCTCTTCTGGAGGCGATGATATCGTCGAGCATTATTTCCACATCAATCAAGCTTTGAAGCATTTCTTATTCAAGAAGTTGTCGAAATGGTCGGAAAAAAGGGGGATTGGTGAGGGAGAGGTCCAACGAGTACGACGTGTGGAGCGAAGCTTCGTACGCCAGTTTGTCCAATCTTTGCGAGGTCGTTTATGGGACATGTGGCTGAGCGACCATGAAGGAGGGTTGTTTCACTTCTCTCGGTTGACGAAGTTGGTGTTTCTAGAGCATCTCATCGGTATGCTGGAGAGACATTGGTGTTGTGTCAAATTCACCTGGTTCCAAGAGGTGTGGTGCATCAGTCCCGTGGAAGACCGCCGAATGTTCAGCTCAACTTCAGTAATCTACAATTTCGGCTCTGCAGCATTTTTTGAAGGTTCATCGCGGCCTAGAGCGCTGTAGAGATGACTTCCTCTAGTCGGAGAAGTCCACTTTCGTCGTAGATGACATTACATTCAAAATGCTGGTAGTTTTTGGCAAGTAAAATGGGTGGAAATGACACCTTAGAAAACGATTTCGCTGCTCCCCAGCCAGCTCATGCTGTACCCACCTGTTTAGCTTTTCTTTTCCTAATTCTTCGGCAGCTGCGATACTTCTGATGTCATTACTACTATTCCTACTGCTAGCGATGGCACAGCTAACCCGGAACAATCCCCTACAGAATCTTCAGAAGGCCGTCCTCAACAGCAGAACCATGCTCATGGCTTCCTTCATCTTCACCTGGAGCCAGTGGTGTTCTGCGCTTTTATTGGTGCTCTCCTGGCCCCTTCCTTCAGTGTTATTTCTAATGTCTATGTAGCACTACGTCAGAGTTTAAACACATTAAAATAAACATGCCAGAACTACTGTGTTGACACTTTCAGTGCAAATCTATAAAACACCTCGAGATAACAAGTCATATCAAAATTACCATATGCTGAAAGAAAGGACATATAATAGGCTCGCAATGATATATAGGACTTCAAGTTTCGAAAAGAAATTTCTGCCTTAGAATATATCAGGTATGCACAGCAATCTCGAAACCCGCATTACTTTCCGAACAATCTAATACTTTGTTAATTCCTTCCTACAAAATTGCATTTGAATGCCCTACGAAAAAAAACAATTTGCTCCAACCAATGGTTCTCCCAAATTATTGGGATGACAGAAAGCTCCGCTTCTACAAGTTTCACCAGATAGAGCGGTACCGTACCCTTTCTTGACAAGAAGACTTCCCTCACCTGAAACAAAGACAAATTGAGCTGCACACCTCACAGTCATAAAATATTTAACAAATCACCGTTTCAGCTGTTATTTCTCCACCACTTTGTTGGATCAGTTTGTTGCGGCATTTACGGCTAATCATGGGATACAGGTCAGTGTTCGCAAAATACACTTTACTTCTTCTGAAGCACTAGAAATTAATTACAAAGCTCTGAATAAAAAGCCATCAAAACAGCAACGCGAACTTAGGCCAATCATTCGGTAGCATCGCATGCGGGATATAGTGTACGATGTAGAAGGAGGCTACATCTCCATTCATAAGAGCACCATCAAGTAGACTATCTCTGGCTCCACTAATAGTTACAGTTACGCCATCTTTGAACTTCAAATCCTCCGCAGAACCCTATAAATTGATGAATCGCAAACCGCATCAAATATAACAAAGAATATAAGGAGATTGAGGCACAAATGTGATTGTATTCTTTACTAGCGTGGCGGCAGGCTTTGCAGGTTCGCTATTCCCATAGGCACACATAAAGAAACCCAGAAAGACAAAGAATTCTCGAGAAAGCTATAGAACAAACCGCGTCGCCATCGTCTTCCAAAGGTAAGAGGTTCGCCTTGAACTTCGTTCACATCCCTGGTAGTGAAATCCTGAAAAGAATGTGCGAAACAAGGGGAATAAAAAATAAAAAAGAAATACCTAGTACAGACATACCGGTTTCTTCTCTTCCTCCAAAAAATTTGTTGGAAATTCGCTGATATCATCAAAGCCTCTGAATGTTGCAAAGAATTCGCCTGCAGAACGATAGTTCTGGAGAGGTCCAGCAGTGGCGCCACATTCGTTCATGTTTATAGCACAATTCTCCTTGTTGACCGATAGACCTTGACTAAACTGGCAGCCGTCGGCATTCACGGATTGAGGTTCTCTCACAATCTGCGTGCACGACAAAGTGTCCCAACTGGAAGATATCTGTTCCGGCGCTGTTACTTGACAGGATGAAGATGTGCCACCAGCAAGAGTATTGTTGTTCTTATCTTCAATCACCTGCTCTTCACGGATAAAACTCGGAGCTCTCTGCGTAGCGTACGGATCAGGTGCTGCCAGCATGTCACCGCTACCAAATTGACTACTGTCACAAGATGCAGTAGCTTCTCTAGCAGTGAAGTTTGAGATGTTGAACTCTTCGACAGATGCACATTCTTGTGAGACAAAATCGCCTTTCCCACATTCTTCGTTCTGCTTGTTTAGCCTCTCAAGGAAACGCTCGTACCGCATCACGCGAACTATGTTTCTTGAGAGATCGTGCATACCTTTCCATTCAGATGGCGCTATAAAAGTTATTTCATATGGGGAATCTACATGTGTTGTGAAAGTAATCAATGTTTGAATTGATAATAATTTTCGAATCCATGGCTAGTAATGCACGAAAACGCAAAGGCAGATGTTTGTCTGAGGTTGTGAACAAGGCATGTAGTACAAATTGTAGACGGCCAGTTCTCCAAAGGTTGGTCGAATGCCGAAACAAAAATTGAATTAAGGTAACAAAACAATGAATTTGCCATTTTCCTTGAAAAATAGTTAATATCTTACAATAGAGCTGGGTTGTGAACAAAACTTTCGCCTCCAGGCAGGGACTAGAACCCGCACCTCTCGCTTTCCGGGCAAGTGCGCTACCAGTTACGCTAACCGGGCACCGTTTCGCCGTAACTTCTTTTCATGATATGTTTACTGTAGGTTATCACGCATAGCATGCAGCAGGTTGGCACGGCGATGAGCCGCGACAACGAAAGCTTTAGCAATTAACTTTGATTCGTTCTTTGATGATACACTGCCGTTTTTGGTCGCACTTCGCCTTACGAAATTTTCTTAAGTGAGTATAAACGAAACCCCAGGCGACTCAACCCGCACCTCTCGGTTAGTGCTACATTAAAAGACTATGGTATCATTTGCGGTTCATAACAAAACTCCACAACCCTTCGGACATTTAATTTCAGAAAAGCAAAGACTCATCAATTCCAGGAGATTATGCCTCACAAAAATGCAGTTCGTAGTGATTTTGACTGATTTTCGAAAAAAAAAGTAAATAGAAAAACTACCCTAATTTCCGGTGGGTAAGTCCGCCCGATATCACGTAAAACACCTCAGCTGGTGCAGTGTACTTGCGTACATCTAGAGACAACCGTAACATGCCCATAGGGTAATTCGATATGCTGATTACGAAAACGACATTCATTTTTAGCGGTGGCGCCATCTGGCGCCAGTTGGCGCCACCTTGTCACGACCCTTGTTTTCACCAAAATCGGTGTAAACTTCTGTATAGGGGTTATTTGGGCCCTGATTACGAATATGACATTCGTTTTTGGCATTAACGTTGTTCAACGCATATTTCTCGGTTGGAGAGCGCAGACGAGCAGAAAATAGGCGCCAAATAGCGCCAGCGCCGAGAATGAATGTCATATTCGTAATCAGGACACCAAATAACCCCTATACGGAAGTTTACACCAAATTTGGTGAAAACAGGTGTCGTGACAAGGTGACGCCAACTGGCGCCAGATGGCGCCACCGCTAAAAATGAAAGTCATTTTCGTAATCAGGGCATCGAATTACCTCTATAGGCAAATTTACGGTAGTTTCTAAGGTGTACAAAATTACACTGCACGAGCGGAGGTGTTTTTACGTGATATCGGCGCGGGCTTATCTACCAGGAAATTAGGGTACTAGCTGTTTTATCCGAAGGAGAATGTTTGGAGCATGCGATGTGATCAACTTACAAGGAAAGGATGGTAGGTCGAAGTGGCCGTTAAAATGAGATGTATACCACCTGATGCGTCTCCAGACGCTGATTCCAAATCTGCCTTCCAAATCTGCTAAACGACTCTCCGAACGGAGTTATGAAGCGTAATAGCTCAGTGGTGATGGTCCGGGGTGGCAGGTAAAAGCTCGTAGGATCGGTTCCTTTGCAAGTTTGTTGCTTTGCTTTTGTCTCTAGAAGTGTTGCGGACAAAAGCAAAGCAACAAACTTGCAAAGGAACCGATCCTACGAGCTTTTACCTGCCACCCCGGACCATCACCACTGAGCTATTACGCTTCATAACTCCGTTCGGAGAGTCGTTTAGCAGATTTGGAAGGCAGATTTGGAATCAGCGTCTGGAGACGCATCAGGAGGTATACATTTCATTTCGAACGGCCACTTCGACCTACCATCCTTCCCTTGTTAGTCATCATTTTCACTGATGCTTCGAGTGTTGAACTGTCCTCCAATTACAACTTTTGTTACTGATTTCTTACAACGCACTGCGTTTATTAACAGGGAGCCCAAGCTTTTGCTTCTCCGAATTTCGGACAACACTACGATAACTCATATTTTTAACGCGTGCTCATGTGTTCCACCATCAAAAAGATCGACATTCTGTAGGTGGTGAAATCGCCGAAAGCGTTCCCACATCAGTTTGATCTTTGAAGCGTTTCCCACTCAAGTGATGGTTGAGATGGATGGAGAATCGGGTCCTAGTGGGGAGGTCCTCTGGTGCAGCGTATGAATCGAAGTGTCGTGCACCAGTTTTTGTGAGGTCGTTTACATCACATATGGCTGAGCCATCATAAAGAGGCTTGCTAAACTTCTTTTATTGTTAGTGCAGAACTTGGTTTCCATTACATTTCTCATCGGTTGCCACATTTGTGTAGTATAAAATTCCCCTGGTTACGGAAGATAAAGTGCATCATACCTGTAGCAGTCCGAAACCATCACCGTAAAGCTCATATACTTTCGCCTTTGGGAATATTTCGAAAGTCTTATCGCAAGCTAATTTTTCTCGGCCTTCGGGCCATTCTATCAGCAAACTCGGAGCTTATGGTCGGCACCTCTCAATTCCAGCGCCCCACCCACAGTGAGTGGAGCTCCGGCCCATCTAATATTTC